CTTTCTATTTCTCTCTCTCTATCCCTCTCCCTCCCTCCCTCCCTCCCTACCTACCTACACTTTCTCTCTCTTTCCCTACCTACTTACTGTATTTCTCCCTCCCCCCTCTATCCCTCTACCTACCTACCTACTTTCTCTCCCCCTATCTATCTACTGTATTTTTCTCTCTTTCTATTTCTCTCTATCCCTCTACCTACCTACCTACCTACACATTCTCTCTTCCTACCTACCTACTGTATTTCTCTATCTCTATTTTTCTCTCTCTCTCCCTTTATCTACCTACCTACCTATTCTCTCTCTCCCTACCTACCTACTGTATTTCTCTCTCTCTCTCCATTCCTCTATCTACCTACCTACTTTTTTTAAAAAAATTGCCTCTTCAAAACCTTGGTTCATCTTATACTCTGGCGCGTCTTATACTCCAAAAAATACGGTAGTTCTGAAAGATGACTCACTGAATTACTTGCAGCCTGCAGCAACTTGTTGTTGTTGTTGAATGGAAGGGTTTCTGTAATTTAAATGCAGTGGTAAATTCCTCCAGGTAGAATAGCAGTTCTGGGAGATCTGGATTCAATCTTTATATAGTATAGGTATCAACTCACTTTGTGGCTGCTTTCCTGAAATCATATACTTAATCATGTGGAACTCTCTCATTTATTTCATTTTGTTTTTCTTAACCAAAATACTAGTTGCTGTAATGTGCAGCTCCCCCCTCCCCCCTTTGGTTAAGCTTGCGGAAACTTCTTTTGTCCTTTTAATTCTCTTTTACCTTTAGGGAAGGTTCATTGTAATTCTAAGAGAGATAGTGAAGAAAATATCTATCAATTAGCTATATGGTATTATGGATGGAAAGCCGGTGCATTGTCCTGTATGCATTGCATTGCATTGTCACCTGAAGTAGTTTTGAGGTAGAGAAGCATAGAAATACCAGTAATAAATATTTCAAGTGTACTAGCATAGTATATGCTGTATATACTCTTTTACATCCTGAGTGTATCAGTGGGATATCTTTTACTGGCTAATCTAGCTACTGAGAAGGGACTGATTAGGTCTACATTGGGTAGGAAAGGAGAATGTAAGTCAGCCATATTCTTGATAAAAAAAATACTATATATTAAAGGAGGGCCAATTTGATGTCATGAGTAAGGTGCTGGCCTAGGAACCAGTACTCTGAATTCTAAATCTCCCTTGGTATGAAAGCTGGCAGGGTGACTTTGGGCCAGTCCCTCTCTCTTAGCTCAACCCACCTCATAGAGCTACAGTTGTGGGGAGAATAAAAAAAAATCCAGTAATAATATATTCCCTCTCAAAAAGAACAGTTATTTGGGAACTGCTTTGTCAAAAACTGAGTAGAGAAGGAACACCGAATGTTCTTTCCCACTGCAAAAAGGATGATGTGATCTAGAATCTGTAGTATATCTCCAATAATAGAAAGAATGATCTGTGGATATTTAGGGGATTTAAGAAGCAAAAAAGCCTGTTTTAGGGAAGCCTCAGTTAAGCCTCAATTAAACAAGAGGCAAAAATTGAGAGAGGAAATATTATAAATAATAGAGCTATGTTAAAAGCAAACAAGTTCCAACTCTTTTCCTCCCACTTGCAGGTATCCATCACTAACACTATACTGTGCTGAAGATGTCTAACAGCAACACCACACAGGAGACACTGGAGATAATGAAAGAATCGGAAAAGAGATTGGTTGAGGAATCTTTGAACAAAACCAAATTTGTATCCAGGTCACCAAGCAAAGAGGAGCCTGAGAAGGACGGGGAAGAGAGTGGTGTACGGCAAGAATCTCAGGTAATTGGACATATCTATGTCTCATAGATAGCCAAACCAGCAGGCTCATGAAAGCCTTCAATTGACTGACTACGGTCCTTGGACTTAATTTTATTGTATCTTGGGTCAGTTATCTTCAATGATGTTGCTAAATTTACTCCCATTAGAAACTCCATGGAATCTATCTCATGAAATCAGCCCAGTATTTAACCATAATCCTATTGTTTATAGAGTTATGCACCCATTGCTGGAGTGTAGTGCAGATAAAATAATGTTAGAGAAATTGCTACCATTTTACTTTATGTTTGGTGGGGTTGTTTTTTAATATGAAATATCTTTCAATTCAGTGTTTTCCTCTCGTTCCTAAGAAAAATCCCCTGTAGGGTTGTTTTTTTTTTAACATTGATTCTTGTCTATAGGATTTGGAAGAAAGTCTCTGTGGGACTAGTAAGACCTATTCCGGTGTTTGCCACCTTAATATAGGCGATGGGCGATTTCTGAATTCTTTCAAGAAAACAATTAAAAAAAAACCTCTCCTAAGGTCAGAATCATGGTGCAATGGTATAGAGCAGAGTCAGCAACCGCAGCGCTGGAACCGCATGCGGCTCTTTAATCCCTCTGCTGTGGCT